GGGGGGGTCCTTAGGTGCAAGATCGGGACCCCGTCGTTTCCACAATTCTCAACGATCTCGAGTGTTTTCGATCATCCCGTGATCGATGGCTGACAATTAGACGAGAACCGCTCAGCATCCTTCACGGTGGTTGGTTCCAACCCCCCACAAGGTTGGACGATTAAATTCCCCCTGCGTGGCGTGGCTTGGTGGGCCATGGCCTGGGGATCGTGGGAAGGGCCACGATTGATGGCTGTCCAGTAATCAATTCTGTAATTGAAATTAGAGAGCGCGTCGTGCCCAGAACGCGCCGACAGCTACGTCGAAAATCCTCAAGGAACCTGCTGGAATTTGTATTGGTAGAGCGGGGAGAAATTGCTAAAAGATTTTTTTATTGGATATCAGTTGCATCATCAATATGGCAGTGGCAGTGACGAACGAAAGTTTGTCATTAAATAACGATAAATATTCATTAAAAATGAATCGACACTTCGATCTTTGTGACACCTTTGGCAAGGGTACCAAACACATATGCCTATAGCATGACGGAAGTTGAGTACCGATTTCGTCACCCGTTATTATAACGCCATTAATTGGAACTTATACAGATATCGCGTATCCATCGCTGAAAGTGTTTCCTTCCGTTCACAATTCGTTTTTGCGTCCTACAGGTGCCCACAAAATTCCCTATAGTATAGGCACGTGCGTATATAGGTATATATTGCGAGATCGTTTCTATCACGTGAAATTCCGGCAAAGCTGTATTACTGACAGTAATATTAAATCATGTTACGATTCTCGATGATGAATATATAGGTATATACACGTGGTTAGCGACCATCATAACGATGCGTGTGCCTGATAATAGCAGAGGGAGCCTGGTGTATTCGCAAAAACGCCATTTGCGATAACGATGGATGATGATCACGGAGACGTAGGTAGCCGCAATAGGTTTAGGGTATTGGATGAAAAACTGCAAAAGGCTACGAGACGGGGGCCCAGTCGAAAAGCTTTGGGTTTCCCTTGTGAAAAATGGCCTCATCCATAATTCCACGATGCTCACGTTCGTTCTGCTATACTATAGCACTTTTTGCCAAAATACACGATATATAATACATCAGTATACGTATGTGTACTTACACATGTGATAGAGCACGAGGCCTTCCATGGTGCCGTTGTATTTTTGAAAGGCCAAATTCGTCGGTGCGAATACTGTCACCTGCCTGTACGTCAATGTGTTGTTTGCCACCTGGCTGGCCTCCAGCAGTTGATAAAACTGTAACAAAAAGTCATGAAAGAATTGTTAGCTTTCCGGGTGGCTACATCAGAGACAAAGAATGAAATGCTTGTTATCGACTTGTCTCGATTCTCGGGTTCGTTGAGTGGAACGACGGAAACAGGAGATTCCAGGGAATTATTGTATCCCATAACCAGACGACAGTCCAATATTTCTTCCTTCAGGCTAATCTCTCTTCTACGTGGACCTAAAGGTGGTGTCCATCGAACGATACCTTACACCAGGGAAAATAGGGCGAGGAGGGGTAAAAAAGCCGATTGCGAAAGGAATCGACGAAGGGGTGACCAAAGTCTGAGCAAGGGAGCCGCCTATGGAACAGTCGCTGGACTCGCGGATGAACTCGATCGTGCACTTTAATTCGCGAGGGAGGTATAGAGTCACGTCTAAGAAGAGGGATGGGGTGGCGTGCGAGATCGTTGGGGTCGTGGACCCGCACAGCCTCCCGGATGGAGAGAAACCTGATTAAGGGACTGGGACCTGTACGGAAGGGATCTCGGGTTCAAGATTTACGAATAAGGACGAATCGGTATTCGCGTCCTCATCTAGACGTCCGGGAAGAATCCTGCAATCGGTACGATGGTCGTAATCACGTTGTATTTGTATTTTGAATAATAAAGTTGCGTCTGGATGATACTGATTATTAGACTTTTTTCGTTTGCTATATTCAGAATATATTTAGAGTGTTATGCAAGATGCATACTATATCACTATTTTAGGACAAACTCCCATGAGCCTCGGTCATAGCTATCGTGTTCCCCTCTATCGCTGCAGAAGTGGGAGCTAGTGGGAACTACCGGTTGAGGGAACTTCCGGTTACGTTAGAAAACAAAATCGGTGAACCAAGCTGGTGCTGAAAGGCACCTGGTGTACAAAGATTGCCACTACGTTGGGAATATCGGGTTGTGACCGTGTAGGGATTCGCCTAGGAGTCGACCTTTATCCTTTACATATCATTTGACTCGTGTTAAGTGGATAATGTTTGGAATAACCATGTGGCAAAGCCTCACGGATAAGGTTCCAAGTACATGAAAGTGAATTTCATGCATAACACATGTGCATTTCGTAGCGGATGGGGAACGAGAAGAATTCAAGGGGATATAGTCGCCTGTCGAAAACCACCACAAAGGGACCTAATTAACCATCAATGTCAAATTAGACTGTACAGAAGAAAAAATTTTAAATGTCTACACGACGTGGAATTATTCACTTTGTGCCTTTGACTCTGTCCTGTAGGTGCTTAGGACCCTGAGTTCAAAGGAACGCCGAATTCTGGTCCCTCCAATTAAAACATCGATACATTGATCTTAGTCATTGTATGATTTTCCAAATAAGCCTTATTAAAATAAAAATATAGAATTTCGAAAAATTCTAATACTTTTAGCTAATTTATTTTTTTTTTTATATTTACATGCACGTCATGCACTGACTCTTTCGTCACATCAACTTTGTATGTGGTTTCTGTAAATTGTTCTGCACGTGAATATTTTTTCCGTGTTTTCTCACGTCCTCGAGCGATTTCTTGGTGTTTTTGACATTTTCGAAATAACACGGCCTAGAGGGCAGCGAGAGACTTGGAAGTATCGGTGATTTTCCTGGAACGGAAAGCCGGAATGATTAAAGTCCCGGGAGACGAGGGCCAAAAAGTACGTATAATTCTGCAATACGTCCAAGCAAGAAGGAAGGGCATTCGCGGGCTGGGTGGAAGGAATAGCAGTATAGCATGGAAGCTAAGAAAAAGTTCTATGAAATAGCACAGGCCTTTATATAGTTAGGCAAAAGATGGAAAGCGATGCTGATAAAAAGTCGAGAGAAGGAGAAAGAAACGAGAATTTATCATATATATCCCTCGTGTAATAAGTGGATACCGGATGGATGAGTCGGAAAAGAAAAATTGTGATAACCTTGCGAATCATTGGCAAATTATACCCAGTGCAAATATTACCTTTAATTCGTACTGCTACGCGAATATAAATCGACTACGAGAGAACGAAGCTAAAGAGTATTCGGTATTATAATACCGAAGAGCCGAGTTACCTTAATCTCGGCTAAGCTCTACTTTATTTTTATTAACTCATCGTACGAATTTATAATTAGAGCCTTATTTTACGTCTTTGGCCTCGACCATATTAACCTCAGTCTATGTGCTGCTTTAACAAAATGTTCCAGCTCCCTAGTGACACTGGGTACCACCTTCTTCTAGTTAGTCAGCCAAGTCGCAGCGAAGCTAATTATTTCGGTTATCGAGAGTGTCTGTGTGCCTGATTTAAATATCCTGAACAGCCTGAAGTCTTTAATGTCTGCTGAAAAATTCATTGCTTCAAAATGATCCCTTAGTCCCCCAATTACCCATCTAATTACAATGCACAATTATAATTAAATACGAAAAAAAAAGCTGTGCTTGCAAGCGCAAGACATCTCGTTAGTACGATCACCATGGCAGCAAGTATCAGGATTGGGAAAAGAGCGTGCACCCTCAATCCCCCCCCCCCACCGCCGCTCACT